CATAATTTTTTTTTAAAAAAAAAAAGAGAAACCACCCTAACTTACCCATGACCGATTTGTTTTTTTTCCAGCTATTTTAAATACTCAAATCACCACAGTATCTATGGCATTCTGAAGTTTGCAGGGTTTGTGAGTCACATCCTTATTTACAGGAACGATGGAGGGAAAGTCAGCATGTTCAGCATTTACTCTATTTTTGAGAAATGAGAGGGCAATTAAGAAGCTAGGGAAAAAGCTGTTTCACACATAATTTTACCTTGCCCTACTATATCTTTCCCTTTCCAAGCTTCAGACCTGAGAGAATAGATGCTGTCCAGACACGTTCAGTGACAGATCAAATTGGTCAAGTATAGCAGATTGCAAACGCAAATTCTTCCTCCTTTTGGCTATGGAAAAACTTGGTTCCTTCTTTATTCACACTGGCTCAGGTCCTTCCACTCAGAGTTCTTGTTCTAAACTCCTTAGTCTGAAAGCAGCCAATAAAAAGTTTTTAACAAACTCTTTAGGAAAAAAAAAATTTATTTTTCAGCTTTTGTGACTCGGGCTGTCAAATGACAGTCATTTTCAGAGCCTGAATAATCTACACACGTAAACTAACCTACACTCGTAAAAGCTTCTTCTGGCTTTATCTACCTGCCCCAGAGCTGCCTGAGAAGTATGCATCACAAGGACTGGCTAGGACATTTTCAAAGTTTCAGACAGCAAAATGAAATGGATAAGATTTTAACGCTATAACTTAAAACTCTCGACTGAAAGACATTTTTCTTTCAGGGAACATTTGTTTAGAATGATGAAAAAGAATATATTCTCAGTTAATCGAAACATAGAATGTTAGATCAGGAAAGGTCTTCAAAGAATCCGAAGGTTAATACTCTCAGCTCCCTCCTTTGCCTGTGGATGTTTCACTTTCCATGTTCATCTTCAACATGATCTGCACTCCCAGTTCTGGTTATTTCATTCTTTAAAAATAACAAAGACAGGTGAAAAATATCTTAAGAGTTATAATTGCTTAGAATATTCACTTAGCAGCTCTGGGCTTGGCAACTTAATGCATGAGGTAAGTATTAAAAAACAGGAGACTAAAATTTTTCATAAAAAAGCAAGGTTATTAGTGTCACCTAATTAAATATGCTAATGGTGACAAGCAGAGATAGACTCAGTTTGTCTTTAATTCTGCCAAGCCACATGATACCACTAAGGGTATACTTATTCTGTAGGAAGAACAATATTTATTAAAATAACTTCAAATAAAATATGTAAAATAACATTATATAAATAGCGCATCATCTCTCTCTCTCTCTCTCTCTCTCTCTCTCTCTCTCTCTCTCTATCATCTATCTACCTATCTATCTAAATACGTACATATAAATAACACTACAGTCATGCACTGCATGACAACGTTTTGGTCAATGATAGACCACATATACAATGGTGATCCCATAAGATTATAAGGGAGCTGAATAATTTCTGTCACCTCGTGATGTTGTAGCTATCATAACATCACAGCACGATGCACGACTCACATGTTTGTGGTGATCCTGGTGTAAGGAAACCTATTGCCTTGCCAGTTGTACAAAAGCATAGTACATACATGTATAGTACATAACACTGGATAATGATAATAAACAACTATGTTACTGGCTTGTATAATTACTATACTATACTTTTTATTATTATTTTAGCGTGTATTCTTTTTACTTACAAAAATGTTTACTGTAAAACAAGGTACCATATGATCACTTCATAAGTTACATACATGTCTGATGACAATGTTGTACACCTGAAACTAATATAATATTATATGTGAACTAATATAATATTATATGTCAATTGAAAAATAAAAATTATTTTTTTAAAACTAAGGAAAAAAAAAAAACAGTATGCTTTGTTACACCAGCAGCCACCTCATACATCTCCTGTTTTCCACGTCTCCTCATTGCATCATTTTCTCTTGTTCTTTATTTAATCTCATGTCGTCTTTATAGTAACATGAGGTACAGGCTTGTAGCTTAGGAGCAATCGGCTACACTACATGGCCTACGTGTGTAGTAAGCCGTACCATCTCGGTTTGTATAAGTGTACTCCATGGTGCACTCCATGGTGTTACACAATGACACACGTCCCAGAACGTACCTCTGTTGTTAAGTGGTACATGAGTGTATATAGTAGTCTAAGCAACTTAAAATGAGGAAAACTCCTAAAACATGTTACTCTACAAGATAACATGTTAACATGTTACCTGGTCCTTAAAATTCTTCAATGACTTCCCATTGCTTTTAGGATTAAATTCAAAATTCTTAATGTGATCTTCGGGTTCCTGCCTTATTCTACAACCTCACCTTGTACCTCTCTCCCTCCCTCTTCATACTCAGCCACACTGGCCTCCCTTCAAGTCTTTGAATATGCCCCAGGGCCTTCGGACATGTTTTTACTTTATCTAGATTCCGTCCTCCACCTGCCTTCTTTGCCTCTTTAGTTCTTACTCACCTGTCAGACCAGTTACTAAATTGGAAGCATATTGAAGGCTCAGAGTGTGTCATTCATTTTTACATCCTCTGTTGTTATTACTCTGTCCTGAACTTGGTTAGTTGTTGGGGAAGGTCAACAAGAAGATGAATTATAATGTTATATACCTGAAACTTATATAAAGTTATTGATCAATATATTACTTCAATACATTTAATTTTTAAAAATCTTTACATCTGAAAATAATTTGTAGGTTAGTTTTTACTCACTTATCTTGAGTGCCTATAATGATTGCTGAGAAATTAAATTTTTTCATGAATTAAATGTGTGACCCAGGCCAAATAATTTCAAAAGCAAAATTAATAAACTCCTTTTACATTTTTACAGTTAAAAAGAAGTATCACTTGTTTGACCTCAGAGCTGGACCTAGCCAGGACAATTGGAGGCTCCCACCCCCTCCCCTGTCCTTAGAATGTGCATTCTGCTTGCCTTCCCTGCCTCCAGAAGCTGCCTCTAGGATAGAAATGGGATGTTAAACTATTTGGACTGAGGAAGATCAGTTAAAGCCCCCTGGATGCATAACTGAACCCACTTAGAGCCTCCAAGTATACTTTGAAGATTTGGCAGGAGGATGTGGAAAACCATTCATCTCGTGGCTGCCCAAAACAAACCTCATAAGTAAGTTATCTTGCTTTTTAAACCTGTCACCTACCAATCTGGAGTGGCCTGCCTTTTTTCTGAAGTCTCTCCCTGCCCTCAGCATATGGAGGCCAGTTTCAGATAATGTCTGGGAAGCTCCTGAGAAGGTTGAAACCCAACATAAGTGTATAATAAACTTTTGTTGAGTCGAATTTGGATTCCACATCTCTTTTAGTTTTCTTATTTGTATTGAGTTAATGATACACCCAAGCTCAAGTACCAGAATGAGATAAACATGCTCTGCCAACACCAATGATTAAAGATTTGACTTCTAGCCACGTGTAACTAGAAGTTTTATGTCTACATAAACTAAATAGCCGACAAATAGCAAATTCTTTAGAGCAATTGCAGAATATAATGCCACTTAGATTCTTTTATTTCTAGCTCTAAAGCAGGCATGTTCACCTTAATACTAATAGGATCTCATTGCCCATCTTTAATACTCTATAACATTTTCATTATGCCTCATAGCAGGAATTGGTAAATATATTTGAAGACAGAAAATTCGTAAATGATTCTGTTATATAGATAATATGCAGTGGTAAATAAGACTGAGGTAAACTTGTCAAATGAATGAAAAGATAAGCTCAATAACATAAGACATTTTGCTTTAAGATTTCTCTGACAATGCTACAAAAGTAGGTGATGTTTTCATATTATTAATAAATAAAAGTCTTCTTGAAACACACACCTATAAAAATACTTGCTTTTGAGTCATGAATGGATATCTTTTGGAAACACACGGTAAAATTTCAGGCTGAGACTAGCACAGGTATGAAAACTATTTACTCAGTGTCTCCTTAATAAAATACCAGTAGTGTTCAAATATTTTGACTCTGTTAAATTATTTTTATTCTGGTAGAACAAAGAGATTCGGGGACTCTATTTCCTTGTCCCCCATTTTCTATAAGAGGCCACGACTGCTTGAATTCTATAAATATATGTAATTCTCTTCAGATGGTCTGTGACCAAAAAGTAATCCTTGTATTTAAAGGTTTGTAACTTAGCCTTCCTCCTACCATTCCATTAACCCTGGATTTATATAAATTTAGTGAACAATCTTTCCTTTGTATCAGTGTTTATAAGCCTTGGGGTTAACAAAAAAAAAGTTCTGTTGGGATAACAGGGACTTCCATCTTTGGTGAAACGTTAAAGCAACTTCAGGGTGAATGGGCTCACATAACATTAAAATGTTGAGATCTATTGAAAAACTTCATTTTACAAATGAGGAAACAGAGTCAGGATGCTTAAAGACCCCATGGACTCCATACCATAGGGCAAGAGACTTGGGGCCTTGCAAAGCACTTTCCCTTCTAATTTCCCAAACTGCCCATAATGAGCCCAGCCCAGGTCACACCAGCCTCAGCACCATTGGCCAGACACTTCTTTGTTGTTGGGGTGTTATCCTGTGCATTGTGGGATGTTAAGCAGCAACCTTGGCCTCTACGCTCTAGATGTCGGTAGTATGCCCTTATCCCAGCCAACAAAGAATGTCTCTAGACTTTGCCAAATGTCTCCTGGGAATAAAATCACCCCTACCCCCACCCCAGTTGGTAACAACTGGTCAATTCCAGGCCATCTTACTGTTTTAATCAACTATTCTCTTTTATGTTTTCTGGGCAAATACCTTAAGACGTTAATGCTTCATATTCAGGATTAGAGCTGAGTTTTTTTTTATGAGAAACCACAGTCTTTCCAAGAAAAGGGATTGTGCTGCTTTTTTGACACATACAAACACAACAAATTCTAACTAGCGTTAGACAATTCTAATGTTTAGCATAATGGAGGTTAAGAAAGGGACAAAATAAAGACCGGCAGTTTTGATCCATGTTTAATGAAAAAGAAGTTACATGAATAGAAATGGACATAAAACAAAGAGATCAATTTGGGAAAATATGGTGATAGGTAGAACAAGGGCAAAATCATTCCAATCCTGATTTTACTCATGTATTTCTATTAGTTATTACTGATCCAAAACATCTCCTTAAATTCAAAACAAAATATTAGTTATAATTTTACTGATGTTTACATGGGAACTCACAAAAGTGATGTCTAAAAGATTCTTTTCCGTTTCTCCCATGCCCCAGAACACACACAAGCAAAGGCGGAGATGTTTACTGGAGGATAACGTGCCGTGAAGAAAATGCCGCCTTATCTGCTTTTTATTAAACAGCAAGTTAGCACTGGCAAATGTGCTTTTGGCACAAACATGCTTTCTGCTAATATTTTCATGAGAAAGCTTTATGATATGCAACCATTTATTCTTAGTACAGTCAATCACTGAGGGATTAAATCTAACTCTGGTGAACATAAATACATGTGGAGAAGTTTCTGACAGTTCAGATTCGACTACAGTTGAAATATTAAAGACATGAAATTTAAAAACACGCTCATGTGGAACTGCAGTGAGCATCTCACTGGTTTGTTTCATGGTTTAATTCTGTTTACGATTCTTACTAGAGTCAGTCAATATTCTATTTTTATCATTTTTCTATCTCGATGTATAGTATGATCACATCTTCCTAAATAAGATGAAAAATAACCTTTGGAAATGAATTACGACCTCTGAAAACATACTTTAATTATCTTATTTAAAATAAAATATCCCTCCTCTCAAACAAGATGGAGCAAGCGCTAAATTCATTACAGACGTTTGCCACGTGGATAATAAAGAGAAGTGATCGATTTGACTCACTATCCCTATAAAATAAGAATCTTTCGGCCAGCACAGAGCAGTCACCAACCTTTGACACTCACGCTGAATAACTGAAAGTTAGGACGAGCCCTGTCTCTTCTGATACTGTATTCTAAGTTTTTCCAGTTGCTCCACACACTGTGACTGGGCCAACTTCAAGGTCCGATTCTCCTCCGTCAGTGCCTCGAATTCCCGAGCCAGCTGAGCAGCATCCACTTTCTCCTTTTCTGCCTGATCCAGCTTGGCAATGAGCTCCTTTCTGCAGACCCGCGGGCAGGCAAGGAAGACGCACAAAATTTAATGCAAACAAAGTAAATTATACAGTAATGGCATCGTGGAAGCAGACTGTTTCATTCTGTTTCTCTAAATTTTATCCATCTCTACTCACCTCCAATTACTTATTTTTATTTTTCCAGCTTCACAAGTCTTAGATCCCTATTTTATTCTAGCCCTTCCACTAGACACATCCAAAATACTAAACATATACCATAAAATACTCAATAAATATTTTGACAGTCAAAAAAAGGTGATCTTTTTAAGAATACAACAAATTGTAAAAGTTATAACTAGTTTAGGGGAAAAAAGAAACAGGAAAAAATCTGTTTCTAATTTAAGATGCTAACTATTGTCATTATGGGTAGGAAAAGTATAGTTTGTCCTTTACGTAATCTTTGTCCTCCAAATTTAGTTTTTTATTTCTGAGTTTAACAAATCTTTACTAGTTCTTTGGACTGAAGACTTCCACCTCCTTCCTGCAGCTATTATTTTCCATGTCTTTCCTTAGTTCTTACACGTATCTTGCATCCCTAAGTAACAAAACAATATACTTACATTTGGAGCTAGCCTGACTCTAGAATCCTAAGCAGGTTAAGATTATTGGAGGAAACTTGTAGTGATAATGCCTTAAACAGATTCATTTCTCAGTAAGTATTTGTAAATAATTCATTGATATAAATACACATAATGAGGAGCTCAAGCTTCGCAGTCCTTATTTAGATTAATTAAACATGACAACCTAAAACAGGTAGGAGGGATCATTTTATAAGCTATATAAATGTCTAACCAATGTACCATATACTTGAAATTAATAAAATAAAATTTAAAAAATAAAAATAAAAAATAAAACAGGTCCACTCCCCTTATGTGAATTAGTTAATTCTAAACTAGATCTGAGTTCTCCTTTGCCTCAATATAAGCATGTCACGTTTCTTCCTTCTCCGTAGGGAAAAGTTCAGAGAAACCTGGAAGACGACTTCAGTCAAGTGATCAAAACTGACATCACTAGTAATGAGATAGACATCACATGCACCAAAGGATATCACAATATCCTTTCTATGGTATTCTATACTAGACAACCTCAAAAGAGAGAAATTTTACAAAATGCATATACTAGACAACCTCAAAAGAGAGAAATTTTACAAAATTGCTAGCCCGTACTCTTCAAGATGTTAAGAACTGTTCCATATTCAAAGAGAAATGATAACTAAATGTAATGTGTGATTCTGAACTGGAAGAAAAATAGCCGTGAAGGACATTATTGGAAATTGATGCAATTTAAATATGGACTGTGATTAGATAATAGTGCCATATCCATGTTAAAATTCTTCATTTTAATTATTGCACTGTGGTGAAGTGAGAAAATGCCCTTGTTCTTAGAAAATACTCACTGAAGTATTTGCGAGGGATGGAACATGATTTATACAACAGAGACAAAGAGAAGACAATCTGGAACACTGATATGCACCTACACAGAGTTCCTATGAGCTCTTATGGATCTCTGAATCTTCTATGGCACTTAAATACAAAGGCTCATAATAAATCCATTCAGATAACTGAAGTCAGGTGCCTCTGAGACAAATAACATATTTCAAAGTGTTTAATTTTATTGAAATAGTCATACAGCTAAGAAGAAAGAGGCAGAGTCAAAGTCTCTTTCTTATTAAATGTTCAGGGCTCTCTGCCTCTAAGTGTAGTTGAAGCAATAAATGTCAGTAATTAAACATTAGTAAAGGTCCTTATGTAACTGTCTTAAAGAAATTGATTAGGAAAATTTACATAAGTAAAAAAGAGACATGCCTCTAAATCCTCCACCCATCAAATCCTCTATTCCTGTCCTTCTTTTCCTTTCAAATTAACTGTGTTGCATAAATAATTCAGGAAGAAATAAAGTTTTGCTTTCAAATCATGATTTGAAGAGTTGGTAGTACTGGGTATAGCAATGACTACTGTCCTGGTTCCATATTTAACTCCATTTAAGACTCCTGAGGACATCTGTTAGTAGTTTTGACTGGCAGAGAAAATAAATCACAAAATCACACATTTTAGAACTAAAAGGAAGGGTCATTATTGTCTAGTCCAACCTTCTTGCATCGGAGAAAGTTAGTAATTCATTTCTTCCTTACTGGAATCAAGGAGACTTAATTGACAGGTATCTAAATTAATTTCATATATTTGATAAGCAATTATACATATATTCAATGAATACTGTCAAAACATCTATTGTCTCCTGTCCAGGACCTATTTACATAGATATATTTATGCTCATCCATTAGCAATTCATAATTAAATCTGGCACATCCAGCTACAGAGACAATCATGTAAATAGATGATCTGAGGAACAAATCACTATCTATAATTGGCTAGAATGTAGTCTTGCCTTTGACTTCTTGTTTATCGTTTCTATCGTTCCCCTTCAATATAGTGTGATATAGGGGTAGAAGACCACACAAATCTGTTACAGGAATCTTATTTTTGAAATCAAGAACCTGTTACATAATTTCTCACATGATGTACCTCACCAGTGAAAAGGTCACAACCTCGGGTCCTTTATAAATTACCTGCTGTCCCCATCCTATGCCACATGCCTAGAAAGGATTTTATTTGCTAAAACAAATGAGAGAAGGGAAAGTCCAAGTAAACTGATAAAGAGGACTTTGAAACTTTGTGGAAACTGATTCCAAAATTAAGGAGATTTTTTATGTTGTCAGAGGTTAGGACATGGATTCATCATTAGGATAAATATTTCTCTGTTTCTGGAAAGGCTACTACCATGGTTCTTGAGACTTTCGAAATTGACTGAAGACTCTTATTTGGAAAAGACAAAATCCTAGACAGTTTGGCCCCAATGAGCTAAAGAGTTTTGGATAATATAATAAAACAGTACTTTCATCATAGGGACAGTTTTATTTTAAATAATGATTTAGACTGTACAGTTGGTTCCTGAGAGATATGGGTTCCAGTACAAGCATTTATACACAGGAGTGAAGGAGTAGACACCTTAAGAAGAAAAAAGGGATGTGGAAATCTATCTTTATTTTATGCAGGTGGAGGGACAGAAAATGCAATTGAAATGGAGTTTCCAAAGCACAGTCTAGACTGTGGTGTTGAAGCTCTACAAATGAATAATGCATGAGGAATAAATATATTCCATCTTTTGGAAGCCAAAGGCGACATTATACCCTTTGGGGGAAATGTGAGATTAGCTCTAAAGAAGAGTTTCTCAACCTTGATACAATTGAACTTTTGGGCCAGACAGCTCTTTGTCGTTGGGCTGTCCTACACACTGGCATTATAAAAGGTTTAACAGCATCCTTGGCCTCTACTCACTAGATGACAGTTTTCTCTCTCCCCACCCCCAGTTAGTACAACCAAACATATCCCAGTCATTACCAGTGTTCTAGGAGTGGGAAATCGAGGAATTGGCCCGGTTAAAAATCACTAGTCTAAAGGAAATGGAGATTTCCACTATAGTCTCCAAAAGAGTTAATCTTGGGATAAGAATAAGGTGAAAGGTAAAATATTTCCTCACTCTACTCTCCCAGAGATTGGAGCCTCTTTCCTTAGCAAGGGAGACCTACTTAAAGAAACTGTCATTGAGGAAAGGTATGTATTTTGTCCCTTTTAATGTCATTTCGGGGAGAGAATTTAATGGGGGGATACCTAGGGGAAAAAATCCAGTTAAAAGATTGGATTACATATAATTAGGTGATTTGAAAGGCTCAGATTATTATGATTGGGAGTATTAATGGAAAGTGTAATCTCACAGCTTGATAAAGTCTGGGATATCGGGATTTCACACAAAACTAAATGCTAAAATGAAAGAATCCCCTTGGCTCTAACTCTGCCTTCTGGAGCAAAGTGAGGAGCCACGACAGTTCTTTGTTCTTTTTTTCATTCACTCAAGAAGTATTTATGGAAATCTTATTGCAAACCAGGATATCCTCGATTCTTGCTAGCTCTGTTAGTCTCAGGAAATACATCTCAACTCAATAAAGGACAAGAAAATCCAACTTAAAAAATGAGCAAAGGAACTAATGGGCATTTCTCCAAGAAGACACAGAAATGCCAAAAAGCACATGAAAAGGGGCTCGACATTTTAGCCATCAGAGAAATGTAAATCAGTACCACAGTGAGACATCATTCCACATGCACTAAGATGGCTATAATCTAAAAGACATTATAAATATTGGCACAGATGTGGAGAAATTGGAACTCTCGTCCATTTCTGATAGGAATAGAAAATGGTGCAGCCACCTCAGAAATGATCAAGTGGTTCCTCAAAAGGTCACACATTAAGTTATATGACCCAGCAGTTCTAATAGGTACACGACACAGGTGAATTGAAAGCATGTGTCAGCACAAAACCTTGCACGTGAACGTTTGCAGCAGCATTACTCATAGTTGTCAAAAGGACAAAAAACTCGAATGTCCATCAACTGATGAAATGGATGACAAAAACGTGGTCTATCCCAAATAACTGGAGTTGACATCAGCGATATCATGCAACTGTAAAAAGGATAGAAGTCTCAATGCATGCTGCATGGGTAAACACTGAAAACATTATGCTGAGTCAAAGAAGCCAATCACAAAAGACCACATCTTGTTTGGTTCCATTTATATAAAATATCCAGAATAGGCAAATCCATAGAGACAGAAAGTAGATTAGCGATTGCTGGAGCCTGGCAGTGGGGAGGGAGGAAGAGGGAGTGACTACATGACGGTACAAGGTTTTTTCCCGGGTGATGAAAATGTTCTAAAATTGTGATGATGGTTACACAACTCTGAGTATGCTGAAAACCACTGAATTCATTTTTCAAGTTACATAACATTTCAACCTGACTTTTCTAAGAGTTTATCACTTTTTAAACGCCACAGCGCCCAGCACAAAGTTTCGTGTATTGAACAGACAAGTGGTTTCTCCTCTGAACAAGATAAAACGCTTCCTCTGGAGCAAAGCCACCTTACTAACTGTAAATCTAACTGTAGATCTAATTGTTTAATGGTATATTTTAAAAACTCTCTGTCAAACAATTCGGTGATAAATTTCAAAAAAAATCAAAAAATGTCTATATTTCACTTCCATGTGTTTCCATTACATACACAAAGAACTATGTGTGTTATATAAAAATGCTTATAATATATATTGAAAAAAACCATGTAACATTTCACATTACTATACATATAATTATATTAAAATATTATTCACATGCATATGGCCTACCAAGAGGCAAAAATGATATAGCAGGAATTCTGTAAAAATGTCAGAATTGTTGGTAATTTTTAAAGCTTTCAACAAAGTTGCCTTTTTTTCTCAATTGAGAAGGAAAAAAATTCCAATAAAAGTAAAAACAAGCTTTTCTTAACATTATTGGTTAATAAGCCAGAGGTGATTCTTTAAATTATTTCCATGCTGAGTTTATAATCCTAGAAAATGTTTGATTCTCTTTACCCATGCAATAGATATGATTTAAAATAATAGTTATAATCAACTCTTTTTGTTCCTCTGCAGTCTCCCAAACTTGATCCAGGGAGACCCCCTCTGGAGATGAGAGAGAAGTTCAGCTTAACTTGGGCCTACATGACTCCAATGAAGAAAAACTCTTCTAAAACACAAGAGTTATCATAGCTCTTTGAACCAAACCCACACTAGACAATCACCAGAGGCAACATGATCAGCCACACTTCATGAAATGATAAAGAAGAAAGTTTTATCTAAATTATCAAAAAACAGAGAGTCAGTTACTTGGGTTAAATCTATTTGGCCCAATTAATCTTGCTTGAAAACAAAAACTATTTAGAAAAATATCTGTTGCAAAATGAATTTCCACTTCAGTGAAGTGTTAATGAAAACAGTGATCACCAATAATCTTTGGAAGACCAACCTCATTCATTTATAAATATAAGATATAACTATACTTTCTATTTTAACAATTTATCTTAGCAATGCTTTATTGCCAACATTGACTCTATTTTAAATAGGGACCAAAGAAATTACAAATAAAACATATACACAGAGGAAGTTACTATCTCCTATATTCAGCCACTCTAAATCATCCAGACTCTTATTTGACCCTATGCACAGCTCCCTGCTCAGCGATTAGGATATGACCGGATGTTAATGGGTGTCTATGTCTATAGGGAACTAAACACAGAAAGACAGGACATAAACTTAATTGAATAACTACTGATAGCACTAGCTTTAAAAAAGTACCCATAGAATCTTTCCAGCGAAGTTTCCTTCGCTTGGAAAAAGAGGTGATCACTGCAGGGATGAGAGCTAAGCCTTCCTCAAGGAAGGGTAGCACTGGGCAAGCATAGAGGACGGAAGGATCACTCTCAACCTTGAGCTTGATGAGAGCAAGGGCACAGAGGCAGGAAAAGTGAATAGACCAGTATGGCTGAAGATGAGAGATGAGACAGAACATTCTACAGAAGTACTAAGGCCATACATACTAAGGTAGGTCTTGAAATCCAGGCCAAGAATTCAGTGTCCTTTACTAGCAATGTGAAACCATAGTCAGGGAAACCAGTTATAATATTACATTGACCAAGATTTGAAGTACCAAGTCCCAAACCCAAATGGCAGAAGCAAGAATGGAGAAAAAGGAATTTGAAAGACTTCATGAAAAAGAAAGGAAAAAATAATGAGAGAACTTGGCCCTTACCTCGCATCTAGCCAATTATTTAGGAAGGCTAAAGTAGCAGCTAAGTCGGGGGTTTGGCCAACATTTTTGTGGTTTGGCAGGTTGTATAAAGTACTTCTGCTGGTCTGCTAGCCACTGTTTTTCTAGAAGTCAACTTTGCCTTTTTTTATTTTAATATTGTGGTGATGCCCACCGTTATCACTGCTCTAAACGCAAGCAGCAGAAATATGTTTCAATCAAGGACCGGATGAGTCACTCTCATGTTGTTCTCATATTGTATTTTTTTAAAATGCAATTTACAAAAACATAAACTTACAGAACATATAATTTGGTGGGTGAGTCTTGCATTGCCCACCCCCTCAATAAAAAGCCACACATTGGATAATTGAAATAACAAAATCCTCCACTAACTTCAATCTAGAGAATTTACATATAAATACATAATTACCTGGGTTTTTTTCTGTCACAACATTACAGTTCACACACATACACACACACAGAAAGAGACATTTATAGGCTGCAGGTTATATAAATCTTCCTTTAATTTCACCACTGGTCATATTATCAATAAGCTTCTTCAGCTCTTTTATGAAACTTTTCTTAGGACTCAGATTGTGTGTAAATATGCAAAATGCACACTCCAATTTATGAAAACATCTTAGACCAAAAAGAAAGTCTCAGACATGAGGAGGAAGTTGTGTTTCTGATCTCATAAACATCTTTTAATCCCTTATAACCAAAAGTCAAGGTATAATTTTATGTTTAAAATACAACAAAGCAAGGAAGTAAGAAAAGATTTATAATGTGGTAACTGAGGTGTCTCAGTAAGTGCAGCAGTGCCCTAAATCCTGTACCACTCCTGACCATGTTATATTGTCCAACCGCCATTCTGGAGGTCTCCAGAGAGTCCCAAGAATTTCATAAGTTTCTCAAGACAAAATATATTTCACTTCCTTTGATTGAAAAATTAAGTAATAACTATACTTAATTTCTTCTTACTGTCACGCCAGTAAGAAGAAGTAAAAAATTAAAGACAATGTTTTTAAACTCATTCAACACTCAACGTGTCACTCATTCAACAAAACCTTATCCAGCATCTACACACCATGGACTGTGCTTGGCTTCAGGAATACGATGGTGGGCAACACCTGACTATCTCTGCTTTTATGGCACTTACCACTTAGCAAGAGATGCAAATATTAATGAAAAGATCTCCCTGATAAACATGTAAACTACAAACTGACCGGTGCTATGACAGAAAGGTGTCTGAGGTTTTGAAAGTATGAGAGCTTAGGGATTCACTGGGGTAAACATCAGAGCAGAGTCAAGTTCAATTACAAAGGAAGAGAATTCTGAAACAAAAGGTTACGACTGATTAAATTTGAGTGCTTTCATTAATAGAACTGTATAATTCCCGACAGTTGAACTGTAAGGGTAGTAGATACACTATCTCAATCAAAACTTACTCAGACTATTGGACCATAAAGTGCAGATGGTCAACTGATACATCCATGTGATTCCAAAGCGCTATCTCGCGGCTTCTTAGCATTGGGAACTCCTCCATAAGCATTTGTTAAAATGCGCCCAGCGCCAAAGTGCTCTGGGGCCTCCGGACACGTTCACAGGGAACGCAGCATGGCTCTGGGTGGTATTTTGGCATATTTAATTTCCTGAACTAAAAACGCTTATGAAAAATTAAATTTGGGAGAAGGAAAACACTCCTGATGTTCCTCTCACTATTTGTGAAGTTAAGCATTTAATCTACAGCAGTGCCATTCGGGTCATTTCTATAACCAAACATGACATCCATGGAAGTCGTCTAGTGACCTCTGAAACCTGGAATGTCAGTTCTCCTCCCCTCCCTCCCTGTCGCCCCATGCTCAGCCTCTCCTGTCCCTTCTTGCAACTCCACCCCGTCCGTGACCAGCAGACAGTGGACAGAGCTCAGCACTTACTTCCTTTCCTCAAGCAGGGCGATTTCCTTTTTGACCTCATGGTATTCTTCCGCTATTTGGCAGTGCTGTTTGTAGACCTGCATGGATTCCGGGGAGTCATGACAAGGCGGCAGAGGCTTCACAAACAAGAAGAAGAAGTCAGTCCATTTTCTTGCATCGGAATAACTTACCAACCGGCGGAATAAATTTTGCTCTGCTGAAGTTCTTTAGAGAGAGTTTTTTTGTTTTTTTTTTTTTTGCACGAGAATGGCATTGTCAGTCAACATCGGACAGAATTTAGCTGATTCTACTTGACTAAAAATAGAGAAGTGGACCGATATTGCCCAGTGTCACTTACGGGCATTGTCAGGCGGAGCCAGAGCGGAGAGACCCACTACATGTCAGTTACCTGCCATGCATTTGAGTCAAAATAGGTCCGCTCACGATTCTGCACTTCCCCGCAGAAGTCTGGATCTCTGCTTCGGAGAAGGGCAGGGATAGGGAAATATTTCAATTGTCTGTTCCCATGACCCCTTGCTTTCTGGTCTTGCAGCCCAGTCATAATGTCATCGTGCAGAGTGGAGCAGCCCTATAAGAACGGCTCACTTCCGAGAAATGCATCCGAACTGAAGAAATGGTGGTAGGCCGGGAATAATACAAAGATTAACGAGCCATATGAAAGACCAAACCTCGAGTAAAACAACGTTTATAACATGTGAGAGCATGGAATCATTCGCTTTTCTCCCATTCATGAGGGAATCGAAGGCCAGCACGGCAAACCTTGCTAACCATAACTTGTTTAAAAAGCCCACTTTTAGAAATTATTTTTTAAAGTACTAGCTTTCCTTGAGTTTGTAAATCTGATTTCTAGTTAGTGACACGTTATTAAACCCATTACTTTTAGAAACACCCGTTAATAGTCTTCTAAGGAGTTTGTAATCACCTTTTAAAATTATTCATAGAAAAATATTATATAATATCTGAAAAATACTATTTCATTTTAAAAAAGGCTCTTCGGCCTAATTCTTTCTTCACAGTAGTCTGTACATGTGAGGTATGTGTCTAAGTCATATTCTCACTACTTTTATATTAATACTTTGAGAACTGACAAATTTCTTACTACTTGGTCCTCATTAAATTCTTCAAGGACACAGATTTCTTTGGGGGTGTCATATTTAGCAACCCGATTTAGGATACAAGAGAAATTCTACAATGTTTATTGTCTGATTGATAGATGAGATGACTTTTCTCATTTCTCATGAGGCCTCTAAGTAGAAATCTTCTAAAAGAAATAAATTCAAAATAGATTTGGAGAAAAATTTACCTTCATGTGGAACATCTGTTGTGTCTTAATTCAGGGAAAGTCTAATAATAATTACATTATATAGCACCTTTCCCTATTGCCCCAGAACACAGAGCATAAACTCAGCCTGTTGGAACCATTACCTCTTTTTATGTAGAAATAAATTGAAAAGCAGTGCCCAGTAGATTTACAGTACAACTCACCCCATGAGATAAAGCTGTTGCCAAAGAAATTCAGAACTCCTGGCTCCTCCAAGTCTAAGTCCTTGAAATCACCACCCCTCATCAATTTTCACCTGTTACGCTGGCAAATTACCAGGTATAACAGTAAGGAGAATGAAAGCAATTTACTCTGGGCCCCCTAGCCAAGCTGCTATTAAATTATCCATGCCCTGTTAAAGGATTTGCCTATTGGAAGGCCCTCAGGCTTCATGCATCCTATTTCTTGTCCTTATGAAACGCATAATAGTTACTCAGTTCAGTCCATAACTTGCCACACGTAGGTACCTGAACCACAAATTCAGCATAGTTACCTATGCGAGAGCCAAAGATTTATGAGCCTGTGTAAAGGATTTGCATGCATTAGAGGCTATAGATGAGAGCAGCCAGATAAAGAGAGAACTGCCCTTTAGAGCTATAATTAAAAACGAAACTGAAAATTACATACACAATTTTCTTAAGAAGAGAGAGGCCTCTTTTGCTCCCTTAGCTTGCCACCCTGCAATGTTTTTAAGTGGAAATTTTTTTCATTGGTTCTTTTTTTTTTTTTTTAATTGTTGCTTCTTAACTGTAGAAAATTTGGAGATATTATGTATGGGTAGCATGATCATGCCGCTAAGGGTATGTGAGGATGGGGAGTATTTCAGGATATATTCAGTGTCCTCATATGCTCTTAGCAGGATAATCATGCTACTTATAGGTAGTACTATTTTCAAGATTTCCCACAATTAAGAAGTAGTGCCAATTGAGAAAGAACAAGCCAAAAAGGACGTAATGGTCAGTGTTTCAGGGAGTAGAAGGAGACCAGGGGTCACTTCAGCCTCTACTCCTGTGAGCTGTCTCCACCCCAACCTGACAGAGAAACTCAGCACCACTTCACGCTCTCTCAATTTATATGAAAGCATTAAAGACAATATAGATCTTTTTTTCCAGCAAGTATGTAAGTTATATTGCACAATCCACCACATTGTAAAATTATTTTATAAGTTGCCAAGGGCTGGCGGGAAGAGGAAATGGGAGTTGTTTAATGGGTATAGAATTTCACTTTTGCAAGATGAAAAAGTTCTGGAGATTGGTTGCACAACAATGTGAATATATTTAACACTACAGAACTGTACACTTAAAAATGATTAAGGTGGTAACATTTATGCTAAGTCTTTTTTACCACAATGTAAAAAGTTAATGCAAAAAAAATTTATCATTAAATCTTCCTGCTGCCCCAGCCCATTTTCTAAGCACTGCTATTAGGATTGCCCATCTGAGGCTCACTTCATTTGCATCTAAACTTTCTTCTCAAGGAACTTAAAATTTCTCACCCCTTTATAATCCGGAGCCATTCACCACTAGGGTCCTCCTGGTCAGAGAGCATTTTGATTAATGTTGCTGGACAAATCAAAATGCCCTCTGACCAGGAGGACCCTCTGTCCTTAGAAGACATATGACATTCCTGGACATTTACTCCAGCCTAGGAAACTCATCAAAAAATTTTTTGAACACATGTTTTTATCCCAACAGGAATTCTAGTGAATAAGAATACTAAGATATTTAGGTTTTATTCCTGATATAAAAAGTAGAATTATAGAGTAATGAAATGTATTGCTCTGTATGACATAGAACACTCTCATTACTTTGTGATATGTGTGTTTGTGTGTATGTGTATAGTGTCTTAAGGTCCTCACTGAGAATGACTCTCTTACCTTCTTATAACCAACCTTTCAAAATAAGAGACAATACATGACCGACAACGTTCATTGACATTTTTGCCTGAGGAAATAGACTCCTAAAATTCAAGCACAAGAATCAACTTTGCAGTTTTAAAATGAAGCTACCAGTAAGCTCATGTCATGCGACATTTAAAACACTGGCACTCATGAATTAATCGGCCGCACATGGGTTTAAGATACTCTTGAATACATGTTCATATTAAAAACTAAAAAATAATTTAAAAGAATGCCTGTGGTAACCAGATAAAAGAATCTATTCACTTTTTGGAATAAAAATTAACACTTTTATTTTTGTTTCAATTCTAGTTGTATAATTTTAACTATTCCTATCCAAGAGATTTTTGCAGTTATAATCCCGTGCTGGGAATGAGAATAGACAAGCAATAAAAAAAAACTCTTCATGTCAACAGTGAATTTCTTCTTGCATCAGGAAGAGGAAATATTGTTACTATCTCCCTGATGATGCTACATCCTTCCACACTTTGAATACATTTATCCCACATTCTTCTTAAATAATGAAACATTACATCCCAAGGAAAAGGAATCCAAAGATATTTGAATTGAAAATGGAAAGGTAAAGGCATTCTTCATGTACTAGGGCACAAATTCTGTGGGATCACAGAAAACTTTTCAGATGTACCAATGCCATGCTATCTGGTCTACTCCTAATACAGCCAGTTCTAAGAAGTTTAAATTAAGACATTCTCCTAACAGTGTCTCAAGCCAATTTTGAAACACTTTTCCAAGACACCGATTGGGGTTTGGATGAGGTCAGAGTCCGGGAGGGGGCACTTCCTCTTCACCCCCTTTCCTCCAGCTGCTGCCTGAGGACAGAGCTCACACAGGCTTTAAATTACATGGCAATGCGGGTGAGCCACTACTATCTCTGGTATCCACCCCACTCATCAGGACCAATTTAACAAGATGAAGTAACAGAGAAACCACAGGCTCCTGTTCCAAGAATGCCAGCTTGAGCCACACCATCCCATCTCCGCTCTCTGCCCAGGCCATGAGTTTATAGCAAGCTCCTCCGAAATGGACTCGGTCCTCTGGAAAGGGCCCCGTGGGAAAGGATGCAGCCAAGCATCTCCCCACAAGGGGCAAAGCCAGCTGAAGAGCTTCCGTTTTCTACTTGGCTTCTTCAAATACTACTGGCCCCATCTACTTCAAAAATGCAAGAATTTAATTTTCCTCTCCCAGCTTCCCACACACAAGATATATTTAGGAAGCTAAATATTCTACAGTTGCCGAGCAGACTCTGTATTTATTCCTTGATTCTCAGTGTTACCTTTATTTTGTGGGGGAGTGGGGATGTCTAGTTTAAATTTACATTGCACTTTAATGTCCCAAAATTAACAAGCATAATTTGTTTAAACTAAATGGAAAAACATAGTCAGGACTAAATGCAATATTTGAAAACTCTGTTATTTTAGAATTTTACATATTTTTTAAACATTTTAAGAACTGACACCCCTATAGTATGGTCAAAGTCTGCATTAATAAATATATGGCACATCCTATATAGTATATAACACTGGAATGAAGAATATGTAAGTCATTTCTATTGATGTAAGCTATATCGAAGGGAGAGATCACCCAAGAGTGTCTCGGACTTTTCCAATAAGGTACATCCTAGTGATCACTGAGTTTCTCAAAAAAAAAAAAAAAAAAAAAAATTAAAGGTAACACTGTAAAGCTCCAAGTATCTATATATATTTTCTCTGCGGTCACAGTAGCCAAAGAACACTGTAAGATACTTTTCAACATGTGTGTGAGAGAGAAAATAGCAGACATCTTCTGTGTGTTCTATGGGCTGTTTCCTAATTGCATTTCCAGCTGGCTGTTCAAGAATCCTGGAATGCTAAGACCTCAATTTTCTACCATTTTCCTTTCCCAGATTTCAAGCAACATATTGATGCAAGACCTAAAAGAAGTTTCTGGAGACACTACTCGGATAACAAGATATTATAGTACACAACTGAAGCTACGAATTGTTTATTTGTGGAGGTGACATCAGTTTCTGGACTTACCAGACACTGTCTGAGAAAAGGCAAGTTCAACGTGTACCACAGAGACACCTGTCACTGTCCTCTCAGATTAGATGGGAGGACTTCAGGAAGGTTGAAAGTATTGCTCAATTTGGTTAAAAACAAAAAGTCACACTGTTTTCCAAGTACCTTAGCTTAATGAAAAAAAGAAGGCATTAGAACCTCTACCCCAACTCAAAAGTCCAAGAGATGTTTGTCTTATTTCATTTTACACGTATAATTATAAATTATTAGTTTTTAATTTATTCAATAAATGATTTCACTAGGGAAGGAAATTAATATTAATGGAGCAATTATTTTGCCCAGCACTATGCTGGATCTACTCATCATCACATTTAATTCCCACAACAACAGGAACTAGATATTGTTCTCTCCACTTTGTAGTTCAGAAAAGTGAGGTTTAGCAGGAGTAAATAGCATACCCCAGATCGCAAGACTAGTAGGTGTGAAGCTGAGGTCCAAATCTAAGTCGATCTAAAGTCAGTGCCCATTGCTCCAGTCCTCGCAATTCCCATTAGGAAGTTCATTACCATCTACTCGTTAGCATGTCCTCTACCTGATTTATAAAAACATATTCCTTATTCCAATGCTAATAATTAAGACCACATTACAGCTTAGTTTTGGAATATCTGTATGTCGAATCAAAATCTCTAAAACGTAACCACTCTGTTAAATTTGAAGACAAATTTGGTCACGACCCAGACCCCGGGCCTATTACGGGACTGTACTAGCCTTCAGAATAGAGAGAGATGTCAGTGGTTACCTCTTTTTTTTAAATAGAAGGAAACTAAGACCTACAGAAATGTAAAAGTTTTTCATTCATTCTTAGAAGTGAACATAAAATTGGGCCTCCTTTCTTTTTGACTGTATGGTCTAAACTAGCTCTACCTAAACTCTGCCTCTAATGGGCGCAGAGAATTTAGAAACCAATTTCCAGGAAAAGAATCCACGTGAAATAGAATTAACCTACCACCTGCCCCTGGGCTGAGGCCTCAGGCCCACAAATGGACATCATGAAGAGATATTCATTTTAACACCCACCTTGCCCCAAGGTCTCTTGCCCAACATCTTGCATCAATAGAGACATCAAGAGAAATGTTTGTCACTGCTATTCTGGCACAAGGCTTTTTTTGGCTTCCATGAAAATAGAAGCACCACGAATTACATGCTCAAACATGTCCGCATTCTTGGCAAAGCAACGAAAAAATCTTGGGGGTCAAATTGGTGCTAGAGTATCTACTAAATAGATATTTTATAGCTGTATTTCATAAACGACAACAGAATGTGTAATGGATATCAGAAAGTCAGAACTGATTTTACGAGGTTCTTCTATAACCACATTATGGCAAACCTTGAAAACCAGAAACAAAAAAGTGATTTAAGCACAAAAGGTGTAAGGGAAAGAAAGCTACCTAGATTCAGAATAAGAGACTTAATCTGAATTAGCAAATTTATTTAGGCCAAGATTTGACTTCATGTTTCTCATCTCTGAAGTAGAGACGTGCTGGTTAGGCTTACGCAATTATAGCAAGGATCAGATGAAATCGTTTGTGGGGAAATCCCCCTCGCCTAGGAGTATTCGTGTGTGTGGGTGGGATTTAAATCTAAGAGTATACAGTGAGTAGGGCCGGCAATTATCACCTGGCATCATTTATTTTTCATTAGGCAAGTTTTTAAGTCTCCACTAGAGATAATCAAGAGTCAGTTCTTCCTCAAGCAAATAGTGACAACCACGAGGCACTTCATGTGCCTTTGTAATTTAACTTTTATTCTTCCATAGAGGATTACGATGCTTGGTAAAATTTCAAGAGCTATTACTATGAGATGGAAGCACATGAGCCTGACTATAAAGATGGCCTGCTCTGCGAGGCTGATTCTTCCTTTTGTACATAAAGCATTTTCATTGCTTTCAGTACAGAGTTCCTGCTGCAGAATGACTCAAGTTTATATGTTTATGCTGAGCATAGAAACAAGAATTTGCTTTTAGGTGTAGTTGTCTGTGTTAGCTTCCCCCTCTCAAACCACATCATCTTGTTTTTTAGTTACTCGTGTCCGGGAGTGTAGAATACAGGTAACAGGCAACAGCCCTAGGCAGAGGCAACCCTAACCAAATGGCTTGACAACTGGTAAGTGTTTATAACAAACTCGATCCTATCCTTCACCCAATAAAGAAGCAGTTATTTAAATGCTTTGAGCTGCAATACTAGGAATGTTCTCTGTTCATGAAGAGGAAAAGCAATATCATATTTTAAGGGTGGGGAAGGATCAAAACCCATGAGCCAGAAAGCAGCCTCTCAATCAACTGCCTAACTCATTAAAGATCGATAAAGATAAAATGGTCTCGCTGGATTAAAATAATTTAAAAAACTTAATTTCTAACATATGTCAAGTGGAATTAAAGTTATAAAATTCAAATGGATCTTCCAATACTTTGGCAGAAAAAAATTATCTGGATAATTGCCGGGGCATGATCCACATGCCAGGGAAGACCATTAATGTTCCCAAGGGAAAAAATTTTTTGACCAATACAAAAAAGTCCAATTAACAGTCCACAGTTTGAAGGAAGGACAAGAATCTGAATGTGTTCTTATTGTTTGATTTTCAAAACAAGTTTATTCTTTATTTTCATCTAACTTCCCTGGTAACAAAATAGCTTTGAGGTGACAGTAAAATAAAGGAGAGAAAAAAACCCTGACAAGGAAAAATATTTAGTTATTATTTTACAGTCCCAACTGCACCACCAGCAGCGCACACACACAGCCCTTCTCTGAAGACAGAACCTAAGCAAGGAGCATCGTGTGTCATGTAAACATGGCGGACAGAAAAGCAGACAGAGAGCCGAGTTCTCCATGGTGACAAGAAGAGATATTGGGAGGATATGGTTAGATATCAAGAACTGGGGGAAATGGGTTGAAGATCCTGCATGGGGTGTAGGAGAAGAGAGAGCTAAAATGGCTGGCAGCTGCAGAGGAAATTAGAGGAGAACAGAGCTGTCTTTTGACAGCTGTGTGGTGATCAGTACAAACTTCCTACCTCCTAGACTGTCTTCCATAATCTCAGAATAAGTGATATTGCTCTGTCGAGTAGGCTTTCTATCGGAGGGCTGTGACAATGCCCGAGACTGCAGCATAGGTGAGAATGAGGGCTACTCCAAGAGGTTCCACACCTGAGTTGTGTTGCGTTGATGTTTAGAGGCCACCTCAGCTGTGGAGCATCAGGCTCCAGGTTTTCAGCTCAGTGTACTGGGCACTGAGATGAGAACCAGAGCCAATAAAAAGGGGCATGATCTTGGCTCGCACAAGGGCTCATTCTTGGTTCTTTCCATCTCTATTGAGGGCTGTTTGGGACCAGTGGTCCAAAACTCAAACAATTTCAGGAGACCAGGCACACCCATAGATGTGAAAAGCTACTGGGCATGAGATAACAGAGAACATCGGGGCCAGTTGAGAACTGAGGTTGCAGACCCCTCCTAAAGGCTTTCGAAAACAATATTTAGAGGGGAAAAATGATGACTAAGCAAATGTCTGTACTCAGGATTCAAGACCCATATCAGACTTGTCCAAACGTGCCTGCAAAGTGAAGTATTTAAGTGAACGTCTGACCCAATGCCAAAATCCAGGTATTTTAGGCAGAACCTCTTCCTCAAGCCGTCTTTGCCTAGAATCACCATCTATCGTCTAAAGAAAATTAAAATGTCATAAATTAGCCCCTTTCAAATAATTTCAGTGTATTAACATGGAATATCCTAGATAGATCATCCATAAACTATGTACACGAAATGTTTTTCGCATGGGCGAAACCAGACAATATTCAGAATATTTAACATAAAATCTCTACGTTCTAGTAAAAGCTGTCAGAGAACTGGGGACAGGGTTAGGAGTGGAGTAGAGAAATGAAGATTATTCTGAAGTCTTGCCACATGTGACAAATATCCTCAGCACAGTTTGTTACTAAATCTTAGCCCCAAGCATCCCAAAGTGCACTGCCTGGAAACTTCCACAGCAAAGGAAAGGCGGGGACCAACCCTGCTCCCAGGCTCCAGAACTCCATCTGAGTGGAGCGGGTTTACGCGTTAAGTTCTTGGCATTCTGGCGCTGTCGCCGGAAAACTAGACAGGGACACTGCGCGAGGTTTTCAGCCCGACTTCGGAGCTCTAGAAATGTAGCCCTCGATGGCGTAGAAGCTCCCCACTGTCTCTAAGTCCGGATGGTTAGGCTACTCCTCGGTTCGCTGGATTCTATGAAACGAAGAAGGAAAGAAGAGAGACTAGAAAAATCCTTACCTGTAGCTGCTGGTCTAATTCTGGAAAGACCAGAGGGCTGGAGTCTTCAGGAGGTGTATCATCTAAAACATAAAAATAAAATAATCCTTCACTACGGAGCCCTTTCTGTCACAAGAGTTGTCCTGCTGTTAAACCATCTTTAACTCGCAGAGTTAAATCATCAGTATCTGCTTCGGTTATTTTCATCGCATTAGTTGGGGACAGATAGAATGCGGAAGACAATTTTGCTCATTTTCAGTACAAACAGAAGCATGGATTGCTTAGTCAGCCTGACCAAAATTTTGCAAACAAATATCAGAATCCTGAAATGTTCTCTGGCAGTTCTCCAATTAAGAGGTACTGTTTGTCTTTCAATACTACTTTAGCAAAAAGAAAAAAAGAAAAAAAAAGATACACAGAAAAGTGCCCTAACAAGGTGCTAATGAGGTAACCAGAACAATCTGAGTTGGACAGAAAAACATATTAGTGAAAAATAGAAGTGTTAGTTCTTCTCTGAATGGCTCCCAGGGTGGCAAGCTTTGATGGTTTTCTCTCTGCTCTTACCACAAACCACCACTAACCGGCAGTTAACCAGAGCTTCTTTCTGATTACAGTAGGTACCAGGCAGCAAGCAACTCGATCAAGGTGTTTCTTCCTAACACAGCAGGCAGAACCCCAACCTGAGGCCCAGCTCGCTGCATTGATGTGGGAGAGCCTGAGCTGAGAGAGATGGGTAACTCTGTCTTCTGTTACCTTAAACTGACTGACTGGCACTAGGCAGGTGTTGTTGGGTCACAAGATATAGTTCTCAGAAGCATCAGGGGAGACCTGAGAGAGGTTCAGCCAAAATACCCAAGTTACTACTCCTGAATGTCTTCAATGTCTTCAAGAACATATGCTGACCCAGCCCTGGCATGAGAGCTCAGAACCTCTGGATCTCCAGGCAGATGCTGGCTCTGCAAGTCCATTGGCCATTCATCTCCCATCCCTTCCTTGTTGAAAATACCTACCCCAAGACATGAGACTACGAGAATAAGACAAAATACAGGGCAAAAGAATAATTAAAAACCCAAACTATTCTAAATTATAATAAAGAAAAGAAAGATAATAGGTTTTTTGTTCTCACTACCATCATCAAAGTTATTCATAAAAACTGTTAATGTTCTCTTTGAACTAGAGGAAGTGATATGGGCCATACGCAGTGGAGAAGCAAGTATCTTCTCCCTCGTCCCTTGGAGTATAGTCCAGAATGAAGCGCAGCACTCAAGGAGCTTCTGGCTTCTAAGGGATTACATGTCTTTGAAGGCACCAAAGATAATCACCAGGAAGATAACTCAAACAAGGACAGTATTAACCTTAGCCAAACACCTCAAAGGCCAGGTCACTTAACAGCCACTGGTATATTTTAGTCAAGAGTAGTATAATAATACTCCCATTTAAAAGTAGCTTAAGACAATGCATCACCAAATCTGAATCTATTTGTTCTTCTAACTGCGCCAGACTGGGTATGGAAGCCCATGAGTTCACTGATGCTAATTAGCTTCACGGAGCACGAAGAAATGGGCAATCTTCCCAAGACCCTTGCTGCAAGCTGGAGGACTGTCTTAGAGGAAACAAGATCCAATCCCCAGGCCCTTTGAATGCTCTTATCCTACTCAGAGTAGAGGTGACAACTTCTGCCAAATACCGTGGCTTTTTAAATCCATCCCTCATCATCTGCAAAGAATTAGACAAAAGACAGAAATACTCACTTGTTGCCACTGACCCTTTAGAGGTAGCCTTCATTATTAAAACTATAGTTTGTAAAACTAATTTGGGTCAAAGGCACATTTAAATGTATTTCAATAAAATATCAATAATCCATCATGATTATTTTAGCTCATTGAGTTCAAGGCCAGAGCAATTTGGCATGGGTAAATGGGAACATATTATACTTTGGAGTCCCAACCCTAATAAACATAGATGAACAGGCACTCGCTAGAAGGCGAAATCACTTCTGTAAAGTACCAGAGCAGATAGTACATTCTAGAAATCTAATAAAATAGCCAGGACTGGAACCCAAGGCTTCCTGGGACTTAATCCACCTTGCCCCTGTGAAGTCACACTCCTTCCTGCTTAATTATAGAAAAGAAATATATATGTTCATTTGCTTTACTATAGTAAAGTAAATAGCAAATACCAGGTATGATCCAGAATTAATGAAGCCCATTATAGAAATCTACGTCATTACTTATAGTCACGTCATATTTAGAGGCGCATATCTGTGACCATGCTGATAATTCTGCAGACAAGAATGGCTTAAAATTGAATTCCTTGAGTTGCTAGAAGAGCCTGATTGATTGACATGGAAATACATAAAGGATATTTTAGAATGACAATCAAAATAAAAGTAAGACTCCTGTGTTAAAAAAATGAATCAAGTTGGATTAATCCAAGCAGGAAATAGCGGAAGCAAGAAAACCAAAGACAGATGTAAGGAAACTATTGAGTCTTAACCTCAGTCCTGTATTTCATTGCTTGATGCCATCTGGTTTAGCTGGCATCCCTGCCAGCCAAAAATTTCAGCGCTTGCGAAGCTGCTTACCAAGCTGCCCCAAGTTTATGTGTGGTGTGTTTACTTTTAAACAGTGGCTGCCTTCTTTGACTGGTTTTAAAAATAGGCAAATATTCTAAAAGCAGAATGATGAATCACAGGATTGGGCCAAAAGAAAAGAAGGAAAATGAGTCAGGCAGACGAGGAGCACAGCTGTTCTACAAACATTTGGCTGAATCGTTGTAAAACATTTTGACAGTGATATTGGATCAGAGTTCCTAAGAGCAGTTAAGTTTGTTTTGACAATTCCAGAAGCACAAAGTAGATTGTACAGTAGCTATACAAGAATGATGAATCACAGGATTGGGCCAAAAGAAAAGAAGGAAAATGAGTCAGGCAGACGAGGAGCACAGCTGTTCTACAAACATTTGGCTGAATCGTTGTAAAACATTTTGACAGTGATATTGGATCAGAGTTCCTAAGAGCAGTTAAGTTTGTTTTGACAATTCCAGAAGCACAAAGTAGATTGTACAGTAGCTATACAAGATACACTCCTGGCAAATTTGCCTTTTTAAACTTTCTAAAAGTAAACCTGTTAGAAGGTAAGCAGAAAAGACCATATATGCTCACATGAGACATTTTCTAAGAAGTTTCTGAAACATGAAAAACCCCCACCTTAGTAAAAAAAAAAAAAAAAAAAAGAAGAAGAGTACTTGCCAGATATGTCTATAACATGACAAAATCAGAATGCAAGTACATTTTTATTAAAATATATTTATTTATCAAATAGTTATTGAATGCCTATTATATGCAAGGCAGTGACAGAAGACCTATGCTAAATTGGCAAATCACTTTATCATAGTTTTTAAGGTATTAAGGAAATAATTCATAGGCTTCCTTTTCAAAATGGCACAGCAAGCAAAACACATCCTAAGAAATTTTTTAAAAAATGAAATATAAAGGAGAGAATTAAAGAGGAATTTTTTTAATAAGCAGATGTTCACTGCCTGTTCCGCAAACATGATGTGACTAAGTCAATGGTACTTAAAATAGAACTTTCTTATTGGTATCCCGACCATTATGACATACCATAGTACATTTTATGATGGGCTCATCTCAGCATCTACTGAGCAGCTGTTGGGTTGTTTTTGTGGTTATTCTGTTCCAGATTTCTTACATTGTCTTCCCACCGTTTCTTACGAATTCAAAAATTAAGAATTTCACGGAACATTGGGAAGCATGCCTTTGAGTGTCTAACTTTTTATGTAGCTAGTAAAGATGATTCGAAAACAACGACCGTGTATCATTAGACTCTCTTTATGAGAGAGAGAACATGTTAACACAGAAATCATAAGACAAACAATCTTAGAACAGAAGTGGTCATTATATTGGATAAATTTAGCTTTAGAGCCAAAAACAAACACACGAAAACACCTCACAGCTGCGTCCTTGTTTCTTTTTACAGCAGAGAGGTGAACGCTTCATCAAAGCCAAACCAGACCTGCGAACCGGCCTGTGAGAAACCCTGTCCTAGTTGATCTCCTGAATGGACTCTGGAGTCACTTATTCCTCCCCTTATGTGCTCTCCGTCCAAGATATCATTGCCTAGGAAATTGTAAATCCATAGAGAAGCCCCCAGGAGTGGGAGAAGCCACACTCAGAGGACAAGCTCCAACTCACTCCCAACCAGCAACTTGAGAGGCACTCATGCTCAGAATCCACTCAATCTGTCTACACTTCCAGCAGCCGGGGCCGGCTTTGCGGGCATGCGCCTGCACAGTTGAAGGGAGCCCTTGGACCAGGCAAGCCCCACACTTGGTTTAATAGTACCTTGAAATTCTTAATTTTTGAACAAGAAGCTGCATAATTTTTTTTCACTGTCCCTCCACAAATTAGGTAGCTGGTCCTGACTGCAGTTAAGACCCCTGAGTGCTGGTGTCCTGGAGATCATCCTTCAGGGCCCAGGGACAAAGTGACATTTACAAGGCCAAGTGAGTTAGAGCACTAGCTGCAGTGAGGACGCTTCTCTAGGAACCGTTTGGCTGTGAAGGCTCCTAACTGATAAGGACACAGTGGGCCGGATCCACATTCTATAGTGCTGGCCTGGGTTGGAAGCTCAGCTCAGCCACTTTTTTAATTTTGGTGAATGTGGACAATCAACATAACCTCTTTGAGACTCAAATTTTCTCCTCTACAAAATAGACGTCATATTCCCTGTCTCAGAAACTTATTAGTAATGAAACGTAGAGGTTAATCATTTAGCTCAAAGCCTGGCATCTAGGAAATAATCAGTAAGAATAATGAATGCTTGATATAATCAAATTTAGTTTCCATTTCTTCTCACCTTAAATCTGACCAAAAGAGTGGCTGGGGAGCAAGGCACATGTGCACGCGTGCGCATATGTGAGTATGTGTGTACTGGTGGGAGCTGAGAGTATTATTCCTCATCGTCTGAATAATACAAGGAGAATAGACAGGTCTAATTACTTAGATGCCAATTAAGGGAGATTCCCCTGGTGCAGCCATAACCTCAGGTCCTACGGGTTTGCT